ATTGAAGCGTTGTTTATTGTTGTTGTTGTGGTGGTGTTCGACCTAAAAAGTATCTCTGAGACGATATGTTAAATATTAATTATTGTAGTGAAGTTTGTAGTGTCTGCTAAACCACGCCTTTATACTTAGGCCTAATTGGACATACGGCACCGTACTTTGGGTTCTTCCATTCAACCTCCAACGTATCCGAAATCATACAAGCCATTGTCAATGACACTGCATGTTTTATCCAATCTTACCACTTTCATAACGACAGCTCTTGATAGAAACCTGTCATCTCGCACCCTTCCAGGCGTTCTTTCCATCCCGACGATTATAGCGTTTGGGCTCGCAGCTTTCTAAGTGGCAGTAAACCCATTTGTGAATAGGTAAAACCATCTAGCGCTACAATTTTTGTACTAGCTTCGACTGAATATTTACTAAAATTGGAAGGATAGAAAGAAAATTAGCATGGCTCTTGTGCACTGCTCATATTTTCAATTAGAGCTTTAAGGATCGTCGATTTTATTTCTTAAAAAAGCCTTTTCTTGTAAGGTAAAATATTTTGCCTTATTTTTCTTCCTGATCAACTCACAACTGCAAGATTTCTCAGGTGGTGAATTTGAAATTTTAGTCGTTTCATTTTGCTCTTCTTATCCTGTTTTGCAGACTCACCTCCTAGTACAGCGAGAAGCTAAACGCGTCTGATAGACTAAAACAGCAAGTATACGCAAAACAAAATGATCGAAAATTATCAAACAATTACTGGCGTTAGCTTATTTGATTAAATATATTTTATTTATAAGAATGAATCTCGGTTCAGGCGTACAGATTGAAAGAGGCATGTCCAACCTGTAGTATAAAATTTGTTACATTGTCACTTGTAATGGTATGTTTGTGTACGATCCGCTGAGGGTAGAACATTGAAAATTATTGTCCAATCGATTCAAAACCATGAAAAGAGATGACCCTTGACGAACATGACTTTAATGCACTCGTCGTGTATAAACTCAAAGAGAATTAACAAAACAAATGTGACAGAAGCTCTTATTTCAAGCCCCCTAGGTTTTGTCACCACCCTATCCGCTAAATAGATATAATGATCCATTGTCGGGGAGGCAGAGCTCTGTGATTACACGTTGTACTCCCTTTTTCACTCTGTGGGGCCCCCTCTTCCCTTGTAGAACTACTGTGACAGATGGTGGCAGTTCACTCCCCTTGCAGAAAGGACACCTCTCTCATTCAACAAAGGACACCTGACATAAGTGTCACTCGGCAACGGATTGAAATTATTTACTGCACTTATTTACACTCGAAATAGTAGTTTCGGAAATATTATTTATCCTATCGTTACGCCTCGTTAGCCATGCACACACTGGTGATAATAGTCATTGAATTTTATTGTGGGGAACTAATGAGACGTAATTTTTTTGCTACTATCAAGGAACTGACTAGGTATAGCAATTAAAACACCTTAGTGACTCGACTCATTGTTAACTTTGCTAACTTTTATAGCGCAAAAAAAATCATAAATTGAAATAGACCAAAACATTATCATGTTTCTAATTATTTCAGAGAGTCGATTTGCCACTTAAATTATATGTTCTACATAAGCATACAATCAAACTAGCATAAATGTTAATCAGGCAGAATGAACTAACAATATAAATTTCTGATTTTTCCTTCTCGAAAAAAAAAACACAATTTTTTTCAATCCACGACGTTCGGGATTATTTTAATTCTTTCTCGGGTGAGTTAGCGCCTATACACAGAACAAAGATTTCTTACATTTTTAGACAAACATCTTTGTTCTGTGTATAGACGCTAACTCACCTGAGGAAGAATTAAAATAAATCCGAAACGTGGTGGATTGTTTTTTTTTTTTTTTTTAGATGACCTATTGGCCCACCTTCGAGAAGGAAAAATCAGAAATTAAACTGTTGTTGAGGTCGAAATAAAAAACATAGTAACAAAAGAAAATCGAAACATTATTATAAATCAAAAGGATCATATTAAACAGCTACAAAGAATTTTGTATTAATTAAATATGTTATTAACGGTTCATTCACCCTTTTAATTGAAAGTTGAATTATTGCTAATAGATTTAATCCAGAGGCTTAATTTGGTAGTGTAGTTTGTATATAATTTATTACTAGGAGAATTATAAATTTAATTCGAATTTTAATAGAACAAATCATAAAGGTTTTGTAGATTTTTCGACCAGCTTAGGCAGATTAATTGCTTTATTTCATGCTAACATTGAACGTTTTTTTCACCTTTTCAACTATGAAACTTGTCTAGTCATTTCATAGTTGAAAAGGTGAAGAAAAAAGTTAAGAAAACAATTCAAGTTTATTTACTTCTGACTAAAAATCAAGCCCTGAAGAAGGTACAATAAAGTTCCTAAAGCTAGGCGAAGATTTAAAATTAAAATTATGTTATTTGGCTATATCCCTGATAACCAAGTGGTCATTAAAGAATAAAAAGTTTAATTTCACTAAAGCGAAAATATAAAATTTAATTCCATTAGATTTCGTGGTCCGATTGCCAAGTAACATCTTTCAATTAATTAATTTTTATGTAAGGCATTGGTTGAGATAAAAAACTCAGTGTCACGAGCGGGATTCGAACCCTCGAACTTCGGCTTACGCTGCTGCTCTACCACTTGAGCTAGTGACTTCGATCCACTCGGCCAGCCGAAGGTCGTGGGTTCGAATCCCGCTCGTGAAACTGACTTTTTTATCTCAACCAATACCTTACATAAAGATTAATTAATTGAAAGATAAAATTTAATAATGATTAAATATTGGCTTTTCTAATTTCATTTTATGACAGATATATTGTTTTTGTTAATAATTCAAAGTACAAAAAAAAATTCTTGTAAATGACTTACAGGTTTTTTAATAAAAACAAAGAAAACTATTGGCTTCGAAATTTCAGAAAATTTGTTAAACTCTTCTGCCTTTGAAATGGCATGATTGTGATTATTTATTTATAATAAATAAAGTTGTAATAGTAATTTTTTTTGTTTCTTTTAATAGAAAAAAAAAACAATAAAAGCAATATTTCCCGAAAGGAAAAACTTACTATCAACCATAGACTTTTCTAATTCAGTTTATTTCAGAAGTGATTTATCGTTTTAATGTTAGTTTATTATTTAGGGCACTCTCGACACGACACGCAAGTATGACACAATTACACAGAAGACAAACACTTTGAGCCCTGAAGATAATCTCAATAAAGATCGAAACGTTGGCACGATAAAGAAAATGTTTTTCTGAAACCTACATCACACCAGACCGCATCTCACGATTTCTAAATAAATATTAATTTATTATGTTATACAATAAAATTAAAAAAGCAGTGATTTACAAAACACAACAAAAAGTTACAAAAGGGGTTAATACGTTCACCCCTTATGGTCCTTTCATAAGATTTATTTCATTTCTTAGATAGATTCTCATTGAAAAATCAACCGATAATATAATTAAATTTATCCCCTTCTTCTATTAATTTATTTTACAACAAAACTATTTGCAAAACGAAGTTTTAGCGCAGGTTCAAGAACCGGAGGGAATTTCTTATCAGTTGCAACAATTCTTCAAAATGCAAACTATGATTTATAATTATTATTTCTATATTTGAATCTAAATAGACCTTTATGAGGTTGTCAACTGTTACTCTTAAATAGCCACAAAGAATTTTGATTTAATTAAATATGTTATTAACTGTTCATTCAGATGCATTCGTTTGTTGTTTGTTGTTTAAATTCAATTTTAATTATTTCCACTGTTCAACAGCTTATGACAGCGTATTAACTTGCCGAGTCTATTAAGCTCAAAACTTAAGATTAAACACAAATAGGATTAATACGCACAGTCTATACAAAGCTACTGTAAAGTTTGTTTTACTTTGTTTTCATTGATCTGAAATTGTTCTGTTTAGCCAATTGTCCTTTGGCCGATTTTGGTTAAAGTCCGATTTTCGGAGTTTATCTGTTTTATTCAATAAATGGGTGGTTGAAAAATGACCATTAAAAACAAAATACAGATTATAATATCAAGTTCAATATGAAGTCCAAGCACGCATACCATTTAACTATTAATTATGAAACTTTACGTTATCTTGTAGGAATATATATAACAAATTATTTTCTTTTAAAACAATTTATCTAATAAAAGAAGGCTACAGCCGTAAAATCACGGATTTCAATAAAAAAAATAGTGATACATCGTTCGACAAATAAAAACGCTGTAATTTCAACAATATTTTAAATGTGGTTTTCTGACTTTTGTGTGTGTATTTTTAGGTCATAAATCGATATATTTATTGTAGACTGTTCTCTTCACAGATGAGTGCCAGTTTGGTTTGTTACAGTTGTGTTAATCCATGTAAACTGCTCAAAACTGAATAAAGATATTAATTTTGTAGTATTTTTTCCTTAGAATTTTTATTTTGTTTTTATTATAAATTGCATTAAAATTTATTAGAAATTATTACGTTATTAGAATAACAGTAAATACAAATATCCCTATGTTTTTGAGCAGTTTAGATTATTTAAGATATTTACTTTTTTTGCTTTACTGTCAATAAAGTATTGGTAATTGACAAAAAAGAATAATTTATTATTATTGTAGAAAAAATTAAGGGTTAGCATAGACCCACACGACTGCTATGTCGTGCACAACAGTAGAAACAAACAAGTCTCAGAGGCTGAGTTATGTATCTTAGATATTATGGACGGTTTTAATGCCCTTGTCGATTTTTAAAAGAATTCCACAAAATTTTATTATTTCAGAGTAATTGTCGAAGTATTTTATTTCTTTCGAACAGTGTAAAATCAGTGTAAAGGTCAGATTTTGAATGGTGATACTCGGCCGTTCCTGTTATGATATGGCGTCTACATCCCCCTCCCTTAAAGTTGGGGGTAGAAGTCCTGCGCACAAATCCTGCACCCCTACTATTCACCCTCCTCCCAATAATTCAGTTAGTCACTTTTAGTTGAGAGTCAGGATGCCAGGTTGTACCTTTCTTACGGTTACAATTTTATAAGCGACCGCTTTAATTTATGTTTCTTTTTATTTTTTTCTTTCCGTCTATATCTATCTCTTTTTTCTTTTTTCCGTGTCCGGTCGTTAGTCACGCCGTTGAGAAAGGATTTCGAAAAAAAGGACAAGTATCCTCTCGCTTCGTACTTTGAAGAAAAAAAAAAAGAAAGACTGTTTGTTTGTGTTTTTAGTTCGGCCAAATTTAATTCGGTCGGAAATTAGTTCGGTATGGAATTTAAAACCAGTTGTTCGGGTGAACTCCCATCTGAACCTCAGCAGCAGTTCAACATATTTCCAGCCATATTCTCGAGACAGTTTAACTTCGGGCAAGGACAAGCCGGCAGTAAACTAATGGACGAGTTGAGGCCGAACCTTGGTGGTATATTAGGTTTAGTAGAAGCTGGTGATCATCACCATAGTGGTTCCGCGCATCACCATCCCGGTAGTGGGACGACAGGCACTGCACAAGGGAACAGTGAGAAGAGACCCAAATTAGAAGAATTCGGCTCTGTCTATCCGATTTCATCAGTGGACCATTCGACACCACCTCCTAGACAATTACACGAACATTCAGGTACCATTTGCTTTATTCACACCCTGAAATAATCCAACAACAAAATTTTACTCCAAACTTCATACCGGCTATTTTACTGCATTCATACGATCAAAAACACAAGATAAACAAATCCTCGATCCTCACCCTTTTAAATGGAAGTTGAATTATTGCTAATAGATTTAATCCAACGGCTTAATTTGGTAGTGTAGTTTGTATATAATTTATTACTAATTTAATTCGATTGTTAATAGAACTAAATATAAAAGGTCTAATTTCACAGAAGCGAAAATATAAAATTTAATAATGATTGATTACAGGCTTTTTCAATTTCAGTTTATTACCGATATATTGTTTTTATTAATGATTCACAGTATAAAAAATTTACAAACTACTTACAGGTTTTTATATAAAAACAAAAAATAAAATCGCTTGGAAATATCAGACAATTTGTTAATCTCTTCGTTCTATGAGGTTGCACTTATTGATTATTTTTTTATAATAAATAAAGTTTTAATAGTAATTTTTTTGTTGCTTTTAATAGAAATAAACCAAAAAAGCCATATTTTCCGAAAGTGAAAAGGAAACCATAGACTAATGATTCAAAGCATAAAAAGCAGTCATATAAACGACTTATAGATTTTTATATAAAAAGAAACAAAAATATTGGCTTGGAAATTTCAGAAAATTTGTTGATCTCTTCTGTCCTTGAGATTGCACTTATTAATTATTTATTTACAGTAAATAAAGATTGAATAATTTTAGTAGTAAATAATATTAGTAATTTTTTGTTTCTTTTAATAGAAATATACAATAAAAGCCATATTTCCCCGAAAGTTAAAAAACTTATAAAAGGAAAAATTTTATGATCAACCATAGACTTTTCTAACTTCAGTTTATTGCAGAAATGATATTTCGTTTTGATGTTATAGTTTATTATGTTATGCAGTAACATTTTTAAAAAGCGGTTAACAAAACGGGTTAATTCTTTCACCCCTTAAAGATAAGATTTAGTTCATTCCTTAGATAGATTCTCATGGTAAAATCTGCCGATAATATAATTAAATTTATCCCCTTCTTCTATTAATTTATTTTACAACAAAACTATTTGCAAAACGAAGTTTTAGCGCAGGTTCAAGAAGCGGACGGAATTCCTTATCAGTTGCAATAATTAACTTCAGAATGCAAACTATGTTTTATAATTATTGTTTGAATATTTGAATCTAAATAAAACTTTATGAGGTTGTCAACTGTTACTTCTACTCTCTCGGTCTCTCTCTCTCTCTCTTTCTCTCTCTCTTTCTCTCTCTCTGTCTCTCTCTCTTTCTCTCTCTCTCTCTTTCTCTCTCTCTCTCTAGCTCTCTCTCTCTCTAGCTCTCTCTCTCTCTTTCTCTCTTTCTCTCTCTCTCTCTCTCTCTCTCTCTCTCTCTCTCTCTCTCTCTCTATCTCTCTCTCTCTCTTTCTCTCTTTCTCTCTCTCTCTCTCTCTCTCTCTCTCTCTCTTTCAATCTCTCTCTCTCTCTCCCCCCTATCAATTTATCTATCTGTTTATCCATCTCACTGTCTCTCTATTCCTCTCTCTATAATATGTTAATTCATTATGTATTTGGATGTATTTATTACTTCAATTCTTTTATTTCTCAACGCAATCAAATCAAATTTGCAAAAATTGCATCGAGAGGCTTATAATTAATTTAGTTCATATTACACGATAATTCGTATTTGTAGCTTGATCGTTTCGACAATTTTTTGATCCTCTCATCCTGGCTGTTTTGGCCTTTCATGAACTTCAGTTGGTCTGTGTGAATTTTTGTTCAGCCGGGCCTTTTTATATATTCAAAAGCTAAAATGCGACGGACAGACCAAAAGAGTTGAAGCGAGCTTTTAGGGTTTTGTTTCTTGGGTTTCTGCCGTATATTTCCACCGGTTTGATAAACGGATGATTGGTAACTAAAATGAATTATTCTTGGTGATTAAGATCATTTTGGTCTGCTTTTCTTAGCTGTTTTAGTATATGCTTACTTGGCTTTTCGCCATCTTCAGTGGGTTTGTGAATTTTTATTTTATCATTATCAGCCAAATTCGACTGCCATGCCAAACATTTAGGATCGGAGGAGTCAGGATGATTGTAACAACCAAGATCGTTTCCGACAATTTTGATCCGCTTATCCTTGCTGTTTTTGTCTGCCTTGGCTTTTTATGAACTTCAGCGGGTTTGCGTGGATTTTTGTTTACCAGGGCCTTTTTATAGTTTCGAAAGCTGAAACACAATAAACAAGGATTCATTTAAAAAAAAATAACAATAAAATAAATACATTTTCAAAAAAGTTTCAGCTACAATTGTAGGTTTTTGAGCGACGGTATCTTTCTATATCGGTGCTCGTCATCACAAGGTTATTTGTTTTATGTAACTTGGCCATTTACAATAATTTGATTGATTAGTTGGTATCCTTTTTTGTGTGAATTTTCGTTTAGCTGGGTGTTTTTTTAAATATTTTTGAAAGTCGAAACTCGTCAGAGAGACCAAAACAGCGCGCATACGCGGATCAGTATTGCCCGCAAACATCTAGAACCAATCTCATAATTTATGAAAAGGTTTAACGCTAACAAAATTTTTATATCTTGTTTGGATTTCGGATTTTGTATGTTGTATTACGACTAATTTGCAAAAATATAAACAGATACAAATCAAATGGCTTTAATTGTATATTCCTATATACATCCACGTACATAACTAGGAATGCAGCTGAAGCCATTTTTTTGGTAGTTTCGGAAGATTTTACTCTAGTTCTCATAGATGCTTTGTCTGCCTTAGCTTTTCGCTTCAGTGAGTTTGTGTTAATTTTTATTTAGCCGGGTCTTTTTTGCATACATGTTCAAAATCCGAAATGTGTATGACACGTCAAAATAGCGATTACATGCGGACCAGTACGATCGGAAACGGCCGACCTACATATACATCTCGTTTTTTCTTTAAACCTCCGACTTTCTATCGTATTTTACCATTAATTTACAAAAATATGAACAGGTTAATTGTAAATAATCTTGAATAAAATAACTTTTTTGTCAATATTTGTGGGTTAGTGTGCGTCGGTACCTTCTTTACCGTGCTCGTTGATATCACAATTTAATAATTTATCTTGGCCGATTCCGATCATTTTGTCTACTTATCTTAGTTTGTTGAGTATACCTTGGCTTTTCGCCATCTTCTATGGTTTGTGTGAACTTTAGTTTCGCCGGGTCTTTTTTTAATTCATATAAAAAACCGAAATGCGCCTGAAAGTCGAAAATAGCTAATTTAGACGGACAAGGATGGTCGGAAGCATTCGATCTCAAAAATCAATTTCCTAATTTATTTTTAATATGATAATGTATGGCTTTGAATTTTGGGTGTGTTTATCGTGTATTACAACTGGTTTAAAAATATATAAAAAAGGTGAATAGTCAACTTTGGAAAAAATACACGCTTTCAGCTTTCTTAACTGGTGCCAGTTGAAATCGCAAGAAAATTTGTTTTTGTAACCGGGTCGTTTCCGTTCATTTTCGTCTGTTAACTTAGCTATTTTGCTCTGTTTTCGCCATCTTAAGTGAGCTTGTATTGATTTTAGTTTAACCAGGTTTTTTCGGTTATCTGTCTGAAAGCGAAGAGGCGAAGGGGCGAGAATTAGCCCCAACAGTAAATGTACGCTGACCAGGATGAAACGACCAACAGGCATTTAGAACCAATCTCATAATTTAGTTTTAGTATATATTGTCTGACTTTAATATACCTGAATAACCAATAGAAATTGGTGAAAGCCGAAAAGGCCAAATCAACAAGTATATGCGGACTAAGATAATCGGAAGCGTTCGGACTACAAACCCATCATTCTCCGGACCTAAAGCCCCAAACTCATAATTTAGCTTTAATATAATAATGTTTGGCTATAAATGTCTTTGGATTCATGGTTTTTCAAACTTGCTGTTTTGGTCTGCCTTGATTTTTTACTATTTTTAGTGCAGTTTGTAAGAATAAACAGATGAATAGTAAATAAAGCGAGTTATTGTTAAGAGAAAAAAGAAACTACTTCAGCCTTATTTTGAGGGTTTGTAATGAACTAATGTCTAGTTTGTCTTATATAGCTTGGTCGGAAACGGTTTTTGTAAATTTTGGTCTGCTTATCTTAACTGTTTTGATCTAACTTGGTTTTTCGCCATATTCAGTGCGATTGTATCAATTTTTATTTAGTTATGTATTTTTTTACATGTTTGAAAGCCGAAACACATCTGAAAGACCAGCGAATATAGGCGGACCTACAGTTTATATTAGAAAACCAAAACGCGTCTGAATGTCCAAAAACAGCGAATACAGGCGGACCAGGATGAGATAGGCTTTTAGAATCAATTTCAAAATTTAGTTTTAATATGTTTATGTTCGGTTATAACTAAATGTTTATGCATTGTTTAGATTTTGGATTCCGCCTGTCGTGTCACAACTAGTTTGCAAAAATATAAATTAATTATTCAGAAATCGTGAGAGTGCCCTCTCATTTAAACGACACGCAAGAAAGGCACAATTACACAGAAGACAAACACTTTGGGCCCTGAAGATGATCTCAATAAAGATCGAAACGTTGGCACGATAAAGAAAATATTTTTCTTAAACCTACATCACACCAGACCGCATCTCACGATTTCTGAATAATTATCGATTAACGGTCACTAATCACCACACAAAAATATAAACAGTTAAATAATAAATACAGAGAATTACTCTTAGGAAAAAAAATATATAAACTGTTTTACTGTATTTGTGGATTTTTGTATAACACCGTATGTTTTACTGGTGCCGTATCGGATATCACAAGCTAATTTGTTTTATTTGTTTTGTTACGCTAAATTGGTCTTCCTCAGAGGGTTCACGTGAATTTGTATCGCCAGTTCTATTTTAAATGTTAGAATGGCGAAACTCATCTCAAAAACTAAAACAGTAAGTATATACGGAGTAGGACGATCGGAAACGTTCGCGGTATAGGCCTATCA